TTAAAGAAAAATGATAATTTAAGAATATATATATTATGTAATGTTCCTCGCTGTCCTGAAAAGTCGGCGATTTCTATGTTGCGTGTTGAATTACAAATCCACACTATGCGGCCATGATTCGCGTCATCTGTGGTGTATCATCTTTTTATGACCGCATCCTGGGCCAATCAGAGCAGAGGATCGAGGAGGAGGAGGAGGACGGTATCGAACATTCCGTCCTGTCGCTTTCTTAGGAGTAAAAACCGAGCAGGAACTAAAACACGCGCCTCATCGCGTTATTACGTGTGCCCATGAATATACCACACGTCCCCTCCCCGTCTCACTGCCCCCCTCCGCCACCTCTTTCTTTATCCCCTGTCTGACGTATATACAGTGACGTCATCCTCGTTGTAGTGGGCGAGTGATTGCGAAATCCCCCCGTCGCCCCTCCCCTGGAGTTGAGGAAATCCCAGATAGCAACATCCCCTTGAATCCTCCTGTCCCGTCTCATCTGGTCTCTGTGGAATGAGCAGACAGGCCGTGGGCACGGATGTGTCATGGTCCTGAGAGGAGGTAACCTACATGTGCAGGACCAGCTCGATGTGCGACAAACAGCAGCTTCCTCTGCGGGTCGCGCTGTTAAACAATCATTTATTCCCATGCTCCCAAACGTGACACGTGAGTCACGTGGCTGCACTCGTTCATCTAGTGAGGCCGGGAGCTGTCCGTGGTGCTGAACTGACGTCTGACTCTGTCCATGGTTCTGATCTGCTCCAGCCAACACTTCGCTGCTCTGCGGGAGCAGCTGCAGCTGAGGGGGGTTCACACTAGCTTCAGTTGGATTACTTTACATACTGTACATTCTGGGATCCGTTCAAACCTGCTGTCAGCTCAGGGTGATGGATGCACTGGCTTGGTTTCCTCACTTGCAGCTTGTACTTGTGAGACACATCTGCCCTCTTGTGGTGCTTTGTAGTAATGGCATGCCAGTCATTCTGCATTTGCAGCAACTTTCACCGAAATCATCAATTAATCAATCAATCAATCAAATTTTATTTGTGCAGCCCATAGTCACAAATCTATCATTAACTAATCAAAAAACAAAATCAACAAACAAAGCGAGGGTGTCATAAGTGAGTGAGCCCTCCCCCAGGACGGGAGGGGTGGGGGAGAAACAGAGCAGCAATCACAACTGTAATGATAGAAGTATTGCCAGTAATGACAGTTTATGTGAGCAGGCATATGAATATAAAATATATGAGCTGTTTATGAATGAGACCATGTGATCATGTTCTTATAAGGACAGAGGCTCTCATCGCTGCTGGCAAACATATAGTTATCCATCTACGGCTCAGGCACCTGAGGGGTGAATCTTTGGCAGGGAATAATAAGTCTGTTGTCTAGGCTGGCGTCACGTTTTGTGTAGTTTGTTTCTCAATTTTTCACAATCAAACAGACAAACAAAAGGCAATGGGGTCCACTGTCTCTCTTGCCCCGGTAAAAAACTATGAATTATACGCAGTGCCTAAATGCCAAAGCAGGGCAAGTTTATTTGTATAGCACATTTCAACAATGAGGGAATTCAAATGCTCTACATAAAATATGAAAGGCATCATGACAAATTGTAAAAGTAATATAAGACAATACAAAAAAGATGCTTTCAAAAAGAAATTAAAAGAGTTAAATACAGAATATAAATAAATAAAATAAGAAATAAAAGAGTGAAAATAAGAGTGAAAATAAGAAATAAAAGAGTGAAAATAAGAAATAAAAGAGTAAAAATAAGAAATGACCAATGGGATATATCTATATTCAGGAACAAACCAGTTGGTTATAATTTTTGCAAGAATATAATTTACAGTACATGTGTCCTGAAAGGTTCAGTGTGTAGAATTTAGTGACATCTAGAGGTGAAGTTTCATGTTGCAGCTGAATACTCCTCATCTCACCCTCCCCTTTCAACATGAAAGAGAACCTGTACTTCAGTTGTCATGGAAACTCAAAAGGTTTTAGTTTTTCCAGTATTAGACAACAATGAAAAACATGGCGGCCTCCACAGAGAGGACCCCCTCCACGTAAATATAACGTTTTTAAATATAAAGGGCCCATTCTATGGTAAAGAAAACAACAATTCATACAATTTAGATGAAACACACCAGTGAAAACATCACTAGGATTATTTTATATTCAATTTCTGCCAAAAATTCCTTTCACCTAAATCTTACACACTGGACCTTTAAGTCTTTTTTAAGGTGTTAAGAAAAATCTTCAGTACAGATGTTTGAAGAAAGATAGTGTTCACATTGGTGGTGAATAAAATGATTAGCCTCAGTTGTCCTCACTTGAATATATGAGTCTATGACAGTATGGATCGGTCGAGAGAGAAGATCCTTTATCCAACGTAAAGGTCAAACAGTCAAATCAAAAAGCTTCAAGTACAATAGAAACATCTCAGTATTTACCCTAATTGGTAGTGGGAAGATAACAAGTCAACATCACTAAAAGTCAAGTAAAGATTATTTTCTTAAAAATGAAGACTGTCATCTCATCCCATTGCCAGAGACAGGATGGCGACTCCCAACACAAAACATAAGACATCCCAATCTAATGCATTCCAATTCGTAAAAGTTTCTCACACACGATATCAAAAGTATCAGAAGCCACATAAGTCACAAATTGTATGACTAATTTACTCAACCACGTCATGACACTGAACATTCAAGGAGAATTTGTGCTACAAATGTAAAAGTGAAGGGTGTTCCACGTCAGAACAAAGGGGTTGTGCTTGTTCTCTTTAACATTATGTCTCAGTCAGTTAATGAAGACCATTCATTCTCCTACACTTTAACAATGACTCAGCAACTCGCCATGACAGTTTAACAGCTTATATTATTATTAGCTTCAGCCAGCTACTGTTACATCACACTTTCCTCTCAGGTTTGGTTTCCAGGAACACAAATTCTCTCAAACATGATTTCCTGGTTTAGTTTATTACACATCTTAATCATCACAGCATTTACAGCCACATTCAGACTTGTATTAATTACATCGATGTCACAGGTGAGTAATGATTGTGGGAAAACATGCTGATATAGATCCTGAGATTTAAAATCTGTGATGCTGCTTTACACACACACACACACACACACACACACACACACACACACACACACACACACACA